CACCGAAGGCCCCAGTGGCAGGGTTCGCATGCCGCCCCCATCTCACTTTGGCACACCCCTCACACGTTTCGTGGCCCCATAGGGAGCTCCACCGACGGCCCCAGTGGCAGGGTTCGCATGCCGCCCCCACCCCACTTTGGCACACCCCTCACGCATTTCGTGGCCCCATAGGGTGCTCTACCGAAGGCCCCCGTGGCAGGGTTCGCATGCCGCCCCCACCCACTTTTGCACACCCCTCACACGTTTCGTGGCCCCATTGGTAGCTCCACCGACGCCCCCAGTGGCAGGGTTCGCATGCGTCCGCGCCACCCATGTCGACACACCCTTGACACGCTTCGTGGCTCATAATGAGCTCCACCGAAGGCCGCAGTGGCAGAGTTGGCATGCCGCCCCTCGCTCATTTCGGCCCACCCCTCACACGTTTCGTGGCCCCATAGGGGGCTCCACCGAAGGGGCCCCAGTGGCAGGGTTCGCATGCGTCCCCACCGCCCATTTCGGCACACCCCTCATACGTTTCGTGGCCCCATACGGAGCTCCACCGAAGGCCCCAGTGGCTCCCCACCACCCATTTCGGCACACCCCTCACACGTTTCGTGGCCCCATAGGGAGCTCCACCGAAGGCCCCGGTGACTGCGTTCGCATGCCTCCCCACCACCAATTTCGGCACACCCCTCACACGTTTCGTGGCCCCATAGGGAGCTCCACCGAAGGCCCCAGTGGCAAAGTCCGCATGCCTCCCCACCACCCATTTCGGCACACCCTTCACACGTTTCGTGGCCCCATAGGGAGCTCCACCGAAGGCCCCAGTGGCGCGGTGCCTATGAGAAGAGGGGCCTAGTTTGCGTGCCCCCTCCTTCGTCTCATATCCGCGCGGTACTCGCAGCTGCATATGGTTGGGTCCTTCGCCAGGCTATTTTTTCTATCAAGGAAAGTCTTGAGAGTCAAATTGTGTCGTTGGCCCTCGGGTTACAACAACAACGGCTCCCGCCTGAGACGCCCACACAATTTAGCCAGGACCCCCGCTCCCGCCCAAGACTGCCTTGCATTGTATTCAAGAGTCGCGCCCTCGCTTGGGACTTCCTTACAACTTATGCAGCAATCGCTCTCGCGGCGCTCTGGAGTCGCGCTCTCGCTAAACACTTGCTTGCAATCTACTGAAGAATAGCGTCATTGCGGTGGAAATTCTTGCAATTTATTCAAGCGCCGCGCTCCCGACACCCAGGCATCCAGGAGCCGCGCTCACATTTAGGACTCCCTCACAGATGACCTGAGAATCGGGATCTCGCTGCCCTTCGTGGCCCCGCTGCAGCCCTTCGTGGCCCCCTCGCTCTGTTTCGTGGTCCCGTTGCAGCCCTTCGTGGCCCCCTCGCTGCCCTTCGTGGCCCCGTTGCAGCCCTTCGTGGCCCCGTTGCAGCCGTTCGCGGCCCCCTCGCTGCCCTTCGTGGCCCCGTCGCTGCCATTCGTGGCCCCACATGTGCATGCCCTTCGTGGCCCCCGTTTGTTCGCGCCCGTGGTGGCACCATGTGCATGCGATTCGTGGCCCCGCTGTCGCCCTTCGTGACCCCCATCGCTGCCCTTCGTGGCCCCGTTGCTGCCCTCAGTGGCCCCGTCCTTGCCGTCCGCGGTCCCCGTTCGTTCGCGCCCGTTGTGGTCCCATGTGCACGCCTTTTGTGGCCCCGTTGTCGCCGTTTGTGGCCCCCTCACTGTCCTACGTGGCCCAGTTGCTACCTTCAGTGGCCCCGTCGTTGCCTTCTGTGGCCCCGCATGGTCAGCCTTTCGTGGCCCCCGATCGTTCGCGCCCGTCGTGGCCCCATGCGCATGCCCTTCGTGGCCCCGTTGTCGCCCTTCGTGGCCGCCCTCCTGCCGTTCGTGGCCCCGCTGTCGCCCTTCGTGGCCCCCATCGCTGCCCTTCGTGGCCCCTGTGCTGCCCTCAGTGGCCCCGTCCTTGCCCTCCGCGGCCCAGTATACGTATGCCCTTCGTGGCCCTCGCTCGTTCGCGCTCTTCGTGGCCCCATGTGCATGCCTTTCGTGTCCCCGCTGTCGCCCTTCGTGGCCTACTTCGTGTCCTTTTGACCCTGCTGTCGTTCTCTCTCGCTCTCGCTTTCGCTCGTCGTCGTCGTCGTCGTCGTCGCCGTCATCGTCGCCGTCGTCGTCGTCGTCGTCGTGGTCGGTCCCCTGTCCGTCCCTCTTGGGGTCGGGTCGACTGTCCGCGGCCGCCCCGCCGATCAGCGCTGCCGCTGGCCAGGCCGACGGTCCGCGGCCGCCCCGCCGCTTGCCGGGGCCTGGCCTGCAGGGAAAAAAGGTAGACCCCCCAAAAAGGTTTCGATCGAAGACGAAGAGGGCGGGTATCGAGGGTTTGGGAAATACGCGTTATTGGACACTCGAGCAGATAATAAGGGCGAACAATCTTAACCTGATTGTTGTTGTTGTTGCTGCTGTTGTTGTTGATGTTGTTGTTATTGTTGTTGTTATTGTTATTGTTGTTGTTTGTTTTGCTGTTGTCGTCGTTGTTGTTCATTGGCGTCGTCCCCCCCGCGACCCAGCCTGCGACCCACCCGCGACCCGCCCCGCGACCCGCCCGCGACCCGCCCGCGATCTACCCGCGACCCAACCCGCGACCAACCCGCGACCCGTCCGCGACCCGTCCGCGACCCGTTCGCGACCCGTCCGCGACCCGTCCGCGACCCATCCGCGACCCACCCGCGACCCACCCCGCGACCCACCCACAGTGCTATAACGAGAAATCGGCGCCTGCGGTGGGCTCGTTGTATAACTTGTGAATAAAATCTAATTGCCTGCAGCGGGCTTCTGAAGGGCCTCGAAGCGTCACCGCCCCTTCACTCATATCCGCGACTGCGGGGTGCTGCGTAATTCGTTTGGTCTTGCCTGGGTGTACTTCCAGGCTTCTTGGGGGAGGAAGGATGTGACAAGAAAAGCATGGAAGGGGGATCGCGATGATGGGTAGCGGCTGCGCCGCTCCTTGGCCATTTTGGCCATCATGAGACCAAGCTTGCGGGCTGGGCAACGCTCTGCCAACTCCCTTGGGAGCAACTGCGCATTCTGCGCACACTGAACACAGTACAGCAGAATGTCGCCTTGCTCAGCAGGCGTGCTACTGGTGCAGCTCCTTGGCCATGCCCAGGCGCACGACGAGTTACTCGAGGGCCCTCTTGCTGTCCTGTGAGCTGCATGCCTTGCGGATCTCGTCAAAGTCATTACCCTCCAGCTCGGTCCCCATGGGCGTGGGAGTGCTGACAGCTTGGTCTGCGTCCGCAGCGCCTCCGTCTTCAGGCTTGGCACTGGCCGCCACCCAAGCGTGGTGCTTGGCGAGCCACTCAGCCACCATCTCCACCACTGGTACAACCAAGGGGGCTGCCTCGGGTGCCAATGCTAGAAAAACGCCGCGCCTGAGTAGTAGCGCCGCCCGAAGTTGTCGGCGGGCCCAGCGGCATGGCGCGCACCATGGCCTGGTTGAGGCTGGTCTCGGGCTCGGCAGTGTTGGCGATGGCCTGCGCGATAACGGCCTTCTGGCTGGCGACGGCGGCTTCGGCACTTTTGCGCCGTGACGACGTCCTGCTGCTTGCCCACCAGGTCGGCCTCGAGCTGCGTGCGCCTGGCCTTGGCGTTCTCCAACTTGGTGCCCAGCGAGGTGACCTCCGCCTGCGGCCCCCTGGTGGCGACCCTGCGCTGCTTGAGCTTGGCGAAGTCCTGCTCCAGGCTGGCCACGTCGATGCCGCCCGTGCGGAGGGTGGGGATCGTCTTCTCGAGGCTGACGATGTTGGCCTCGAACTCCTGGAACTCAAGGCCGGAGGCTGGGGCTGCAGCTGCGGCATCAGGTGCAACGCCATTTGCCCCAGAGCGCTCAGGGCCGAGCTGGAGGTGCCCTGCCACGGCCCTGCCTGTGGTGAACCGCTGGAACCCTGCCGTGAGGGTGGCGATGCTGGCCTCGAGGCGCTGGTGGCCTGCTCCGCCTCCGCCAGCTCCTCCTGCAGCTGAGCAGGCGCGCGACTGGGTCCTGTGCCGAGCAGCGCGGCTCTCGCGCTGGGCCATCGTCTCCTGGTGGGCAAGCTGTGCCTTGCGGGCTATGTGCGGCGGGGCGTCGCGCCCGCAGAAGCAAACCACCCTGTCGGCCCACAACCCTTGGCGGCAGCCAGGGCACTTCCAGAACGGCTCCCTGGGCCTCGGTAGCGCCTTGCGGCTTCCAGCGCCAGGCAGCAGCAGCAGCACCAGCAGCAGCAGCAGCAGCAGCAGCAGCAGCAGCAGCAGCAGCGACCGCGAGCGAGACCGCCCACGAGGGATGGCGGCGGCGCCTCCGCGCGCCACGCCAGGGGCGCAGCGCGGCACCGCAGGCCCGATCTTGCGGCGGGCCCGCGGCGACTGGGGGCTTGGAGCGGGCGGGCCCTCCCAAGATGGCCGCGGCTCGCGAGCCCCCTTTCGCGAGGATGGGGGTGCTGCAGACGAAGAGGGAGGAGGGAGCAGCAGGGGGGATACATGGACAGACGCACGGCGCAATGGAAGGTCGAGGGTGAGCACGCGAGGACCAGGACAGAGGAGGAGGGAGGAGGAGGAGGAGGAGGAAGAGGAGGAGGAGGTCGAGGAGGAGGAGGTCGAGGAGGAGGAGGAGGAGGAGGAGGTCGAGGAGGAGGAGGAGGAGGAAGGGAAGAGGGGGAGGCGAGAGGAAGGAGGGTAAGGAGAAGGAAGAGGCGGAGGAGGAGGAGAGGAATAGGAGAGAAGATGACAGAGGGAGTAGAGAGAGATCAGGACGACGATGCCCCCTATGGGGAAACCCTGAGGTGCCCATACCGCTACTCCACGGCCATCTCCTGGGGTGCGTTCTGACTAACATTTCGAGGCGAATCCAGCGGTGGCGACAAGGGCATCCCAGGAGGCCCAAAAAGGGGAGCACGAGAGAAAAATAGCGGTGTGGGTACCTTCTCCTCGCCTGTCCCTCCTCCCGTCGCGTCCCCCCTCCTCCCCGCTGAGAGCGCGCGCGCGCGCGCCTGCGCAGCCGGGGTCCCGCCACGGCAGGGCGCCAGGGGGGGCCTGCGGAGGGCGCCGCTCGCGGGGGTGCCCTTCCTCCAGAGGGCTCAGCGGGGGGCGGGAGGGTGCCTCCTCCTCCGCGTCCTCCATGGTTTCCTCCTCCTTCCCCTTCTCCATGGTCTCCTCCTCCTCCTCCTCTTCCTCCTCCTCCAACCCTTGCTCCTCCTCGCCTCGATGCTGCGGGCTACGCTGGGTAGACCTTGAAACCCTTCCCTCCTCCTCCTCCTCCTCCTCCTCCTCCTCCTCCTCCTCCTCCTCCTCCTCCCCCATCCTCCTCATCCTCCTCCTCGTGCTGATCCTCCTGCTCCCCTTCCCTGCTGCTCCTGCTCGACCTTCCCAATGCCCATGAACAAACGATGCATCGACTAAGGGGGGGCCCAATGGAAATGCGCCAGGTCGCCGTCGTCAAGGGTAAATACTGTCGTGATTGTTGTGGAGCGGAGCCCCGCAATACATCGAAATGTACCGTAACTGAGTGATTCCACGCGCCCCAAATCGTGGCTCCTGCCAACACTGCATCCGGTGCCCCGAGGGAGGTTGGGCCGTGCAGACGGGGCTTGACTGCCCACCCGTCGCACACGACGAGGTGGTGGGAGGCGGGAGCGCTGATTTTGGCCCGCTCGAAGTGCGGAGGGCTCGGCGCCGCGCACTTCTGGACCTCGGGCAAGCTCGTGCCAGAAGTCCAGGCCCCCCTCCCACACACAGACACACCCACACACACAGACACAGACACAGACACAGACACAGACACAGACACACACAACACACACAGCACACAACACACACACACAACACACACACACAGCACACAGCACACAACACACACACAAAAACACTCAAACACAAACACACACGCAAACGCACACACACACACCCGCAAACACACACACACACACACGTAAGCACACACACAAACACGCAATCACACACAAACACACACACACACACACATTCACACATCCACACAACCACACACAAACACGCACACCCACACACACACACACACCCACGCACACGCGCACACACACACACGCACACACACAGACACAGACACAGACAGTGACACAGACACACACACAGGCACGCATACCACACAACACACAACGATTAACTCAACACACACACACACAACACGCACACACAAGCAAACACACACACGCACATACAAGCAAGCACACACAACACACAACCACACACACAATGCACACACAAGCACGCACACGCGCTCGCGCACGCGCACGCACACGCACGCGCACACGCACACACACACACACACACACGCACGCACGCACGCACGCACGCACGCACACACGCACGCACACACACACACGCACACACACACACACACACACACACACACACACACACAGCACGCACACACGCACGCGCACACGCGCACACGCACACGCACACGCACGCGCACACGCACACGCACACACGCGCACGCGCACGCGCACGCGCACGCACACACAAACACACGCACACACACGCACACACACACACACATACACACACAAACACACACACACACACACACACACGCACACACGCAAACGCACGCACACACGCACACACGCACACACGCACACACGCGCACACGCGCACACGCGCACACGCGCACACGCGCACACGCGCACACGCGCACACGCGCACACGCGCACACGCGCACACGCGCACACGCGCACACGCGCACGCGCACACGCGCACACGCACAAACACCAACACACACAAACACTCACACACACACACACACACGCACGGGGCTGGAGTACGTTCGAGCGCTCGGGCGAGGCAGAGCACCAAGCCACATAGAGCTGGCCAGGGAGAAAAGACGCTTGACATGAGTTGGTGGGTTCGCGCGCAGCGTACCGCCTAATCGATCCGAGTACAGATTAACCCCAATCTTCTTCTTCCTCCTTCACAATGTCCCGTCCCCCGCTTCCTCCCCCGCCTCTTCCTCCTGCCCATTCTCCCTCTCTCTGCTCCCTCGCCCTCCCCACCCACCCCCCTATCTATCCTCCATCACCCTCCTCCTCCTCGTCATCCTCCCCTCCCTCCTCCTTCCTCCTTCTTATGTCCTACCTTCTACCGTCCCCTTCATCCTCCACCTCCTTTCTCTTCCCCCCTCCTTCTCCCTCCTCCCTCCGTGCTCCTCCCTCCTCCATCCTCCTCCTCCTTCTCCTCCTCATTCCCCTTGTTCCTTCCTCCTCCTCTTCTTCTCCCTCGGTCTTATCGTTCTCCTTTTTCCCCCTTCTCATATTCATATCCCACGTTTCGTACCACCATCCGTGTCCGTGTGGGTCCAACGTTTCGCGTGGACTGTCATTACAACTTAAGATCCTGAAGACACGCAGGGTGCCACAACATACACGCGTTTCCTACCTGCGGCGCTCGCCCTAGCGCCGCACACATTCGTTTTCAAACCTGATTTTGGTTTAGCATTGCTCGTCTTAGCGCCGCCGCGCACGTTCGCTTCGAACCAACTATAAGCTACAACACTGAAGATCGACACGTCTTCAAAATGCGGTTCTGACGTGAGGCTTCCTCAGACTCGACGACTGTACTATAGATGAAGCGTGCAACCACTGCAGGGATAGATGACGACCCCTTTTCAATATGCTGTTCTCGCTGGAGATTTCCGCATGTTGAATGATCAGAACTCTGACATGGTGCAACTCTTACGCGGATGGAAGACAAAGACGTTTCAAGGAACTAAATCTCGCTTGATACTTCCGCAACATGTACGACCATGACTCCGCAACCGTGCAGCACCAGCGCGGATGGAGGGAAGACCCATTTCGAGACGGCGCCATCGCTGGACACCTCTTCACCTGATCATCCTGCCTCTGTGCGTGTCTTGTCGCTGGAAGGATGGAACGCTTGAGGAGGAGGAGGAGGAGGAGGAGGAGGAGGAGGAGGAGGAGGGGAGGAGGAGGAGGAGGAGGAGGAGGAGGAAGACGCTGGAGGAGGCTGGAGGAGGCTGAGGAGGCTGGAACCGGGGATCCGTCATCACGAGTGGTCTCGCTCGAGTGGCAGACCCACCGGGCGCCCGCCCTTCATTGGGGGGGGGCGCCTCGACCGGCCGCCAGGAAGACTCTCTGGGGATCGTGCGGGGGGGGACTCGGCGGTGGGACGGTGTGTTGCAGCATCGTTGATGCATCCTGGTGCTCCTCAGGTCCTCCTCCTCCTCCTCCTCCTCCTCCTCCTCCCTCTTCCTCTTCCTTCCCCCTCGTCCTCCAGTTCCCCCCCCCTCCCCCTCCCACCTTCCTCCTCGCCCCCCCGCTCTCTCCCCCATCCCTCTCTCCCTCCCGCTGGCGAAGTGCGCCATCTCCATCCCCTTCTCCCTCATTTCTTGGACACCGATTGGGGCACAAAGTCGCTCTGGCGGCTCATGCACCGAAGAAGACGTGACCACTAACGGGTTTCACCAGGGGCGAAGTTTCCCCGGAAATGCTGTTCATAGAAAGGGTCAATGGGGCATCCAGAGCACAGACAAAACCTCGGAAAACTCTGGGAAGCCCTGACCGCTAGCAATATGATGCCTGCACACAGACATCAGTCGCCATCGCGTTCGCCAACAATTCCCACATCCCAGCGGGATGTTGCTTAGCCGCCGAAGTGAGGAATTGCCCATTTCTCCTGATTGCCCTCAAGGGTTACAACATGAGAACGATGATCGCACCTACCTTTGTCGGGTACCATGCGAATTCTATCGCCGGCAGCCTCGGCATGCATTAAAAACAAAGTGGCTGCCTTCCGAGAGGGCGTTCCGCACATGCACGTATCAGCGCGGCACATACATACGCTCGGAACGACACTTGCCCCTACCCGCAACGCCTGTGAGCCACGTATTTCTGGCAAGCCCCATACAGACGGGATAGGAACTCATGCTTACGAGGGTACTCCATCACAGAGAAATGGCTGGCAACAACACAAACGTATGCTACCTCCCACTCCCCCTCCTCCCCATCCTCCTCCCCATCCTCCCGCTTCCCCTCCTACCCCTCTTCCCCCTACTCACATTCCCCCTCCTCCTTACCCTCCTCCCCCTCCTCCTCCTCCTCCTCCTCCTCCTCCTCCTCCTTCTCCTCCTCCTCCTCCTCCTCCTCCTCCTCCTCCTCCCCGCCCCTCATCCCTGCCCCCCTCCTCCTCCGAGCAACCACGAGGGCTTCCCGGAAGCTTCGAATTGGCGGCTCGCGGGGGCAAACTCTCGCACTCTCCTGGGCTGCCAAGTGGGGGCGCCGGAACGGCGGGCAGGGAATCTCGACTCAGGCGTCCCAAAACGGTGCGGTGACAGGCCGCGCGTTGACCTCGGAATCCCCCCAGAGACCTCGCCGCACGGTCCGTCACCGCACGGCTTTGGGATCCTGGAGGGCCCAGTCGCCCGAGACCTCCTCGGACAAGGACCCAAATCTGAAAACTGTGCGGTCACCCCGGATCTCCGCTGACCGACTCCGCTGCTGCTGCTGCTGCTGCTGCTGCTGCTGCTGCTGCTGCTGCTGCTGCTGCTGCTGCTGCTTGTTCCTCTTCGCAACAGCACCGTCCGTAGACATTTGTCTCAAGCTGTTTGTTTTCAGCGTAGCGTTCCGCGTCTGCGGTCACCCCGGATCTCCGCGGACCGACCGCGCGGTGCCACCGCACCGTGTTGGGCCCCGTCCTCCTCTCTGGGCCGCGGCTGCGGCTGGAGGAGCAGAGGACAAGGGAGCTCGACGCTTCGTGCCGACCAGCCATAACCGGGGGAGCTGTGGTCCTTACCCCCCTGGGGGAAACCATCGCGTCGACGTGTCGAAATCGATGGGACCCCCAGGGGGGTAAGGACCACAGCTCCCCCAGGTGTGGCTGGCCTGTCGTGGCCTCTTCAGTGGGTCGGCGTCGCTGCTGGATCCCCTCTCGGAAACCCTGGTCGGAGCTCTCCGGGAGGCGGTCTCCAAGGAGGGGCCAGGACCTGTGGCGTCCCGAGGGCCCGCCGCGCCCTTTCAGAGCAGCCAGAGGTGCGGAGTCTGTGCGGAAGGCGGGGCCACAAGAGCCCTGGAAGCCTACTCCCCCTGCTCCCGCCCCCACGTCCGCTCTCACCCCCGCTGTCGCCCTCCCGCTGCCATCAGATTCCCTCGCTGCGCTTCGGAGCCCTGCAGGGGTCGACTAAGGCAGCGTTTCAAGTTTTCGTCTCGTACCGCATCGAAGCAAAAACAAGATGCGGCGGGTCCACCCACGCAAAACTGTTTGATGCTCCTGTGGAGTCGTAGTAGGCCTCCGGTGGGCCCCAGAGCGGAGGCAGACGGAAGAACGGGGCGACAACAAGAACGATCCGCGAGGTTGCCACGTACATAAGATTGGTCTATCCCTTGAGCTCTCGACCCCGTCCCCTGGAGCAGCTGCTCTCGTCGCGGAACATCCAGCGGGCCCCATGACCCGATATCGGCAATACCTGGACGCCGACCTTGTGAACCAAACGTGCATATGCTGTCTTTTCGTGATGCTGCAGGTCTTGGTCCTCTACCTCGAAACCGGTCCCTGGCCCTCTCCTGCCCAGGAGAGCTAAGACCGGTTATTGCTGGCCCCAGGGCTCGAAAACGGGCCTCAGGATGCCCAACGCATCCGCGAAGCTGGCCGCCCCTTGCGTTTCTGAGTCCGCCAGGGGTCTGGGTCCTCAACCTCCAAAGGCCTCCAGGTGTCCTCCGAGGTTCCAAAGGGAGGTCCCTGGAGCCCCCAGGAGGTCTCTGGAGGCATCCAAACCCCTCTCCCAGGATCCAGCACAACCAGCAAGTGGTTTCAATCCGCCAGAGGTCTGGGCCCACGTCGGGCGCTGGTGGGACCGCGCGCGGCGGCGGCGGCCTCCGCGGCGGCGCCCGCGGTGTCCGCGACGAAGAGCTCCAGCTCCGCCAGCAGCGAGGCCGCGGGCAGCGGCAGCGCCCGAGGCGCGTCGGAGCTGCGGATCCACACGAGTACCTCGTGCGACCGGAGGTGGGGGGGGGAGCCAAGAGACGCAGGGGGCAGCGTGCCCTGGTAGACGCTCGAGCGAAGACCTCCTCCTTTAGGGGGCAGACCTCCTGTTGCTCTGGGAGGCAGCGCGCCTCTGCACTGGCCTCTGCAATCGTTTTCGCCAGCAGAGGACTTCCTCGTCGTCCTCCTCGCGCACTCCAGTTCGCGCTCGCAGGGAGGCAGGAAGAGATTGGCTGGCTGAGAGCTCCACGAAGGCTCAACGACGTCGGGACTGCGGGGGCGCTGCTGCTCGCTCTGGGCACTGGCAGCCCAGGCGAGTAGGGCAACAGCAGCACGAAGAGGGGAGGGAGGGGGAGGAAGAGCCATAGTTAGCAGCAGCGGAGCAGGGAGAAGGGGGGGGGGAACGGGGCCTCAACGAGAGGAGGCCGTCGTGCAAAGGAGGGGGCGGGAGAGTGCCGCGGCGGCGACAACGCCAGTCCAGCCACTAACTAGCCCACACTTGGCGGGCACTCGGCAGGAGCGGGAGGATGAGATCGTGGTCGTGGTCGCGGCCGCCCCCCGCGGGGGGGAAGGCCTGACTCAGCGACATGACCAGGAACTGCAGGGCGGCCATCTCGGGGTCGGCAGCCTGGGGCGAGGGTTACCGATGGGCTCCTCCCAAACCTTTGTAGGACGGGGCGGGCTCGACCTTCACTCAAGGCATGTTTTTGTTCATGCGTTTGTTACCCCATCCCTCATCTCCCCCCCCGGCCTTCTTCCCCCACCCTCTTCCCCCCCATCTACAATTCAACAATATGAATACAACTTTCCTCCTCCTTCTCCTCTGGAATTGTCCAGAAGATGTCCCGCCCCCTCGGCGCTCTTCTTCACATGCAGGATTTCAAACATTGTGTTGTTGTTCCCCAACCAGCTTGCTGAACGGGGTGCTGTTGTGATAGAAGCTAACTCCGGCCGAGGGAATTCAAAGCAGAGACGTCCTCAAAAAAATGTGGTGGTCCAGGCCGTTTCGCCTGAGACATCCTCGCAACTCTCGTTTCTGAAATGTCCGGGATTGGGCGTTTCGCGTGAGACATCCTACAAATTCTGAGTTCCGAGATGCCGTGCAAAAGGTGGTCCGGCCCGTTTCGCCTGAGACATCCGCGAAACTCTGAGCTCCCAAATGCCGCGCGAGAGGTGGTCCGGCCCGTATCGCCTGAGACACCCTCCAAAGTCTGAGCTCCGAGATGCCGCGCGAGAGGTGGTCCGGCCCGAATCGCCTGAGACATCCAAACTCTGAGCTCTGAGATGCCGTGCGCGAGGTGGTCCGGCCCGTATCGCCTGAGACATCCTCCAAACTCTGAGCTCTGAGATGTCGTGCGCGAGGTGGTCCGGCGCGTTTCGCCTGAGACATCCTCGCAACTCTGGGTTCTGAGATGCCGCGCAAGAGATGGTCCGGCCCGTTTCACCTGAGACATCCTCCAAACTCTGAGCCCTGAGATGTCGTGCGCGAGGTGGTCCGGCGCTTTTCGCCTGAGACATCCTCGCAACTCTGGGTTCTGAGATGCCGCGCAAGAGGTGGTCCGGCCCGTTTCACCTGAGACATCCTCCAAACTCTGAGCCCTGATATGCCGTGCGCGAGGTGGTCCGTCCCGTTTTGCCTGAGACTTCCTCGCAGCACGTTTCGCCCGAGACATCGCCGCAACTCTGGGGTACGACATGCCGCGCGCGAGGCCGCACTGGCATGTTATCATGTTCTAACATGCCCGCGCGAGGCCGCAACTCTGGTCATGTTATCATGTTCTAACATGCCATGCCAACCCACACTGGACGGGCACGCAATCGACCTTGGAAACCGCAGTGGGTTTAAAAACCCTGTTTGGGGATACTGCACTCCGGCTATAATCTTGTTTGTTGTGTTACAATCCGATTGTTTTCGGTGTTTCAAATTGGTGCTCCCGCTGCAGCGTGGGCCTCATTTTCGGATTGGCGCTTTGCTCCCGTCGTTCAGAATAGCGCTCTCGCCCCAGCGCGGGCTACTTTTCTGAATCCGAGTCTTGCTTCATTGTGGCCCCCCCCATTTCCCCTCCGCCGCCTTCCTCTGGTCCTCTTGTTCCTCCCGCTCCTTCCGCTCCAATTCCTGCTGCTGCTCTTCGGCTCGCCCCAGCGCGGACCACTTTTCTGAATCCGAATCCGCCGACCCCTTGGGGTCATCGGCGAGTGAGATGCTTCCTCCTCCCCAAACCCCTCCCCCCAAGGCCCAGTCCGATCGGTTTGGGAGGGGGGTGTCCGGCCGGCCCCGCGTGAACGCGCCACGGGCCTCGCGACGGGCCATGAGCGCTCCAAGAGGCCCGCAAGATGGTCCAAGAGGACCCCGAGTCGCCGAAGGATCGTTCCAAGACGCCCAAGATGGCCCCCAGACTGCCCAAGAGGCCCCCGAGACGCCCCAAGAGGCCCCCAAGAGGCGTCCCAAGCGGGCCCCCATAAAAGCAGATCGTCCCATTCCATTCGGGAAACGTGTGATTTTAGCACATTCGCCTACGTATTGGGCTTTCACAACGTCCAAGAGGTCCCGAGAGGCCTCCAAGATCGCCCCAAGACGGCCCAGGAAGCCCCCAAGAAGGCTCCAAGACGGCCCAAGAGGGCCCCAAGACGGCCCAAGAGCCCCCAACACGGCTCCAGGAGGGGGCCCAGGCGGGGGACCCGAACGAAAACTTCGAGCCATCGGCCAAGAAAAGCCTCCAGGAGGCCCCAAGAGGCCCCCAAGGAGCCTCCAAGAGGCTCCAAGAGGCCCACCAGAACGGCCCCCAACAGGCTTCAAACATGCTGCCAGGAGGCCCCCGAGAGACCTACCTGGAGCCCCCCAAGGGGTCGGCGGCGCGGCGTAAGCCCAAGAATCGTTCTTCATCGTTGTCACCCCCCCCATTTCCCATCCTCCGCCTTCCCCTGGTGCTCCCTTTTCCCCGATCCTTTCGCTACAATTCCTGCTGCTGCTCGTCCTCGTCAATGTTCCTCCCGCTCATCCTCCTGCTCACCCGCCACATCCGCCTCCTCCTCCTCCTCTTGTGCACGCAGCCCCCCATTTTCCGATTGCGCATAACCACGAAGTGGTCTTTCTGTGGGAGTCGCAGGTCGGCTGTGACACGCGCCCGCGGATGGAGCAACATTCGCGCCAGGGGAAGCGATGTGAGGGATGTATCGGGTGTGAGGTGAGGCGCGAGCGCACCCAGCTTGCCTCCCCCCCTCTCCCCCCCTCCCCTCCCCTCCCCCCCCTCTTCTGGTGGGTTCTGGCCGTCTTGGAACCTCTGGAAATTTCGGGATCACGGAGTTGCAAGCAACCCTGCTCAAGGGCCTCAACCAACTGTGCCTCTCGGAGGCGCGCGAGCACGCCAACCTAGAAGGAACCGCTTCTTGACGTCGGATATTGAGGAAAGTGAGGGATTCACCCGGGTCATGGTCGACGCTGGGGCAAGATACGACGATGCATCTCAGGAACTCAAAACCGAGCAATAATGAGGGGAGACAATCGACTTTCGTGCCAGGGGCACGCCTGACGTGTACGTCTTGGCAGCCGTGGCACTCTATCTCGCAAAGGGCGTAAATAGGCGATATTCTCACACTCGGCACGAAGAAAACATGATGTCAGTCTATATCGGTCTCTGATTCAGCGTCTCCGTGCTCACAATCGCGGGCACACGCATTCTTCATCTCCGTGATCGCAATCACGAGGGGAAAACAAGAAGGTGGAAAAATGAGGATCACGTTCGCGATGAGCTACGACGACGCGGGATGAAGGCCAAATAACTCATCATGAAATTCCTGAACTGGTTCTCGTCCAAAGCAGAACCGTTGATCGGCCTAGCCCCCGGACCAGTGGGAGGCGGCTCGTCTTCCCACCCTCACCTAGAATGAATAATAAAAGGTTGAGCCCTGAGTAGTGGACATTTCAACACACATTGATTTGATACCTACTCTAATCGGGGTCTTCTCACCGTCCCCAATTCCCGGATAGCTCCTTGAGAAAGCTGAAGGTTTTTGGAGAAGAAACAAATTATGCTGCCACGACTGCCGGTCAGGCAGCGTCGCAACGGATTGGTGGACCTTGCAGCGTGTCCCGCCAGCGCTTTCCTACTTGTTCCCAATGCATGGGCAGCGAGTGTTTGCGCAGCTCCTTCGCAGCGCGTCCGGAGCTCGTGCGCAGGTACTCGGGAGCTCACAGGCAACGCTTCCCAGGCTCGAGGAGAGCGCTTGGATAGATTCTAGACAGCGCTTCTCGTGGGAAGCGCCTAGGCAGCGCTGCCTTCGCGCTTGCGCAAATGCCTGGCGGCGCTTCCTGTCCCCGTGGGGGGGCGGCCCCGGATCGAGACCACGGGTGTGCGGACCCTCGCAGATCGTTAAACTGCTGCTCGCGCGGCCCGGGGGGGCAACTTTGCTGCCGCGGCTGCCGGTCAAGCATCCCCACAACACCCTGCTGGAGCCTGCAACTTGTCCCGCAAACGACCCCCTGCTCGTTCCCAATACGTGGGCAGCAAGCGTTTGCGCAGCCCCTGCGCAGCGCTTCCTGAGCTCGCGCGCAGGTCCTGGGCAGGGCTTCCCAGGGCCGTGGGCAGCGCCTAAGCAGCGCTTGCTAGGCTCGTGGGAACGCCTCAGAAATGCGTCCTAGGCCCGTGGGCAGCGTCAGGGAAGCTCCGAGGAAACGCTTCCTGGGCTCGCGCAGAACTCCCAGGCAGCTTCCAAGCAGCGCGTCCTGGGTGCGCGCGCAACTCCCAGGCAGCCGCGGCGCTACCGTCCGCGCGCAGACGCGCGCCTGCGCGCCAGTGCACTGCCATTCTGGGTTTCGGATTGCACAAGTGGTGGCTCCCAAGAGGGCTGCACGTGGGGCGAGGGGTAGAAGTAGGCCGAGGCACGCGTCATGACGGCTCACGCCTCGCGACCTTAGTCGAAGCATTACCTCCCAAAGCCTATCCAACACTCTTTTCTGCCCCTTGGCCCCACCTATCCCCCCTCCTATCCCCCCTCCTGACACTCTTTTCTGCCCCTTTGGCCCCCTCCGCCCGTGGCGCCTCGCGTTAGATTCCACGCATCACAGTCCGATGACGTTCGCTCTACTGGTCCCTGACGTGGGCCCTCTCATGGTGGAACCTCACGGCGCCAGGTTTTTCCGTTCACTCCAGGTACTCGACTTGTTCTCATCACTGGTCACTGACGGGGGCCGCCCTTCCCACAGGAGATTTCGCGGCACCAGCGAGTCCGAGCCGCCTCTTCTGTGACTCGGCGGCGAGCGAGGGGGGGAGTGAGAAGGAGAAGGCCTTCTCAATGGCGGCGGGGATGCCCAGAAGCGACGCCAGGGTTTTCGAGCATCTTGCCAGTGCACAAATATTTAGGCTTCTCTCTGCGCCAGTTCACATGTGTTCGCGTGTCACACCTCGTGCCTGCGTGTCGTTTATCAAGAAGGCCGGAGTTTTCTTAGGTCATTCTTGCCTCTCGGCGCCTGTCCCTATTGCTAGCACCGCCTATCTCACATCTCACTCTGGGTTATGTTTGCTCCTCTCCTGGTCTCTGACGTGTGCCCTCCCCCCCTAAATGAGACCTCAGTGCACCAGGGTTTTCGAGCATCTGGGCGCTCTTGGCTTCTCTGTCCTGGCCTCTGAC